TTTTTCCCTCTCTTTAAGTGCTCGTTTGTGTTTGGGTTAGCTTTAGCGTGTTTTGGGTAATTAAAGGTAAATAACCTTCGGATATGAATTCCAGGTTTTTTAGTAAAGTGATTAAACGCGAAGATTAGTATTGAAATATCCAAAGAGATAAGATATTCTTATTTACAAAATTGTTAATGGTTAAATTCTTATTTTTATTAATATAATATATGTAATAACCAACATTAGCCGTGAATGTTTAAATTGTTTTTGCTAAATATATTAGTATTAAAACATTATTATTATTGATAAACATTTTGGAAAGGAAAATAAATGTAAAACGCATTAATTTTAATGAATAAACACCTCAGGAACGCCTATGATAATACAAATTTATGACTTTGAGGCATATTTCGTGCCCTCAACAATTTGTGAACGGATTATAGAAGTACAAAGGAAGAGAAACAAATCGTAATTGAAGCAGGCCTTACAATAAGCTTCCTTTCTATTAAATGGTTAGGCCCTTTAACACTAGGCAATAAAAATGAAGGGCACAGGGGAAAAACCCCGTTCGTTAATTTTTTCAAGAAATGGGCTGATTACGCTATCCAGTGGCTTCAAACGAATAGTTTTTAAACATTTATTAGCTTTGTACGAAACACCGTCGATCTACTAAAATTCACGTTAGAAAATATGCGGCACTGTGGAAAAGCCCCGTTAGTCAATGCGCGTGTATGGAAGAAGCCCGTGAGTCAAATATTGTAGTAATCCGCTTACTAAAGGTAAATCATTCAGGGCAAAGTCGAAGGAAAACGTTGGGTCGAAAGAAAACAACTGTCCTGGCTGCGTAACATTAGACAATGGACAGGTCGAACGGTCGAGGAACTGTGTCATCTAGCTGCCGACCGAAAATAATTTCATCAGCTTGTCAATATGGCGATAGCCAACGATTGAATACAAGCACGGCACACAAAGAAGAAGAAGGAGATAGTTAAGTGTACTACAAGTAAACAGATCAGATTGACACCAGAATCCAAACGAATAGTTTACAATATATTTAAATATATACAAATACTATTTCCTGGAGATAATCGAGCCAGTATTGAACAACGTGTGAGTGAAGCTACTGAAGTATCTTTACATACAGTAGAAAGGATCATTCAACAAGCGAGTATATTAACAAACTCAGAGTCAAATAATACACTAAAATTTTCAGCTATAACACTTGCTAAAAGGAAAGCAACCATCACATACTTGATTAAGTATGACAAACAGTTTATTAGAAATACCATTCATCGTTTTCTTGAGACTGAACGTTGTGGTGTGTCATTGAAGCTTTTACAGAAAAGGCTTGAAAAGGTGTATGAGTGGACTGGAACTGTGAGTTCTCTCTACAGAATTGTAAAAGATTTGGGATTTAAATGAAAGAAAATGAAAGATAATTGACGTTTAATAATTGAACGTAATGATATTCGTGCTCTGCGCATTTTATATTTGAACAAAATTAAATATTATAGAAGCGAAGTTAAGTCAATTGTATATATTAATGAAACCTATGTATATGCAGGACAGGACTACACCAAATAGCTGGACAGATGACAGTGGCAAAGTATTGTTCGAAAACATTTCAAAAAAACGTAGGTTGGTTATCGTACATGGTGGTGAATAGATGAGTTTCATACAGAATGCCTTTTTGATTTTTAAGTCAGGAGCTAAGACAGGAGATTATCATGATCCCCAATTTGCTTGTTGGATCTGTTGTTGTTACTGATAATGCGTCATATCATAATGTACAAATCAATAATGCACCCACAAGTAATTCTAAAAAAATAGATATGTTATCTTAGTTGACAAAAAAAAATTACCATTTGTAACGTTAATGTGAAAACTCCAATTGTATGAAATAATCAAACGGCACAAACAAGACCATATAAATTTGACAAAGTGCGCAAGAGTACGAACATATTTCTTTAAAACTTCCGCCATATCATCCAGATTTGAACCTTATAGAAATGGTTTGGGCGCAAATAAAAAAATGAAGTTGCAAGACAAAACGTTTATTTTAAGTTAGAAGACGTAAAAGTTGTAAGCAGATTACTGGAAGAATGTGTGTGAACATGTAGTCAAGGTTGAAGATAAGTATTTGGAAAGTGAACGTCGAATAGATGTAATTACCGAAGAATTAAGGATTTATTTAAATGATTCTAGTGACGACGACATTACATCTGATTATGAAGTGAATAATATAATTTAACATTACGATGTACCTATGTAAGCTACGTGAATATAAGGTTTCCAAACTGCCCTGTATGTATGTATTATTTTTTTACTTTATTACAATCATTTCGTATATTCTTTTATTTAGCTTTGTGACGTTTAAGTGAGTAATAATATAAATAATAAAAGTTTTAAAGTTAAAACAATCTTTCTAATTAATATTTATTAATAATATAATCTGTAATACGTATCTATGGTTTTATATACAGATAATGTATTTATGTGATATATTATAATAATATGTATTAAAATTTAGTACAATATTGCCAAAAATATAATCTAATAGCATTGTTTAATAAATTGTGTGTACCTATCTTTAACAATTTGATTTAAATCATAAGTATTTTTTGGAATGCCACTGCTTTGTTTGGTTAGGCTTTACTGTTCCTAGAAATTTCAGCCACTACAGTTGAAACATACTCCTGTTATTTTAAGTTTTTCTTTATATCCTGTTAATGTTTACCTATATCGAACTGACAATAAATGTAATATCGACATGACATTAAAATATAAGTACCTTTAAATGTTTGAAATGCTTCTAATATGTAAATTTATTTTACTGGCTAAATAATCTAAACTAAAAAATAGCTGTTTTAACCAATACAAGTGCGTATAATCAGTACAAGTTTTGCAAGTGATTCATTATTTTAGAAAAATATATTTTTCACTGTCGATCTGTATTAGTATTTCCTATACCTATCTCTTGCAGTTTTCAAGTAAATTAACTTTATATATGTTTGTCACATTAAGATTAAATTAATGTGACATGATAAGAATCTCATTAAGCCCATTGATCATTATCATTCAGCCCATACTCGTCCACTGCTGAACATAGGCCTCCCGTAGTTCATCCCACAAATTTCTGTCCTGAGCCGCCTGCATCCAATTTTGATGTGTCCGTTTCAGGTCATCTGTCCATCTTGTTGGTGGTCGTCCTCTATTCCTAAAGGCATCTTGTCTGGATCTCCACTCAGGAATGCGTTTTGTCCATCTGCCGTGCCGTCGCGACGTGCCCTGCCCAGTTCCATTTTAAGGTTCATATTCTTTTGATTGCGTCGGTTACTCCCGATTTACGGCGCAATTCTGTGCTGGGTATTCGGTCTCTCAGGGTTAATCCCAACATGGACCGTTCCATTGCCCTCTGTGTTGTTCGAATTTTGTTTGCGGACATCTTAGTAAGTGTTAGCGTCTCCGCACCATAGGTAAGAACCGGCAGCACACATTGATCGAAGACTTTTCTCTTCAAGCAGATGGGAAGAGCTGATTGGAAAATATCTCTTAGCTTTCCATAAGCTGCCCATGTCAACCCTATTCTACGTATTAGTTCATTGGTCTGGTTATCTCTACTTAAGCGAATTTCGTGTCCCAGATATTTGTATGCTGATGTTTGTTCTATACCTGTTCCAGCTATGTTGATGTTCTCACTCAGAACAAGGTTTGTCATCACTTGTGTTTTTGAGTTATTGATCTTTAAACCCACTTGTGTAGAGGCATGGTAGAGTCTTTCGCACATTTCGATGGCATGATCTATGCGGTCTGTTATCAGGACTATATCGTCCGGGAACCTGAGGTGACTAAGCTGTTCTCCATTTATGTTTATGCCCTTTTCGTCTAGGTTTGCACGCTTACACATGTATTCCAATAATGTTGTAAACAGTTTTGGTGAAATGGTGTCGCCCTGGCGAACTCCACGATGAATGTTGAACTTGTGTGTATCTTCATGGAGTCTGACGCATGCCGTGGCATTATCATAGATATTTTTGATGACAGTGGTGTAGCGGTGATCTATTCGGCACTCTTTTAAAGCTTCTAGCATTTTCTGTTGGTTTACTGTGTCGCATGCTTTCTCATAATCCACAAATATTAGGACGAGGGGTTTATTGTACTCTATACATTTTTCGATGAGGCTTTTAATAACTTGTAGATGGTCGTTTGTGCCGAAGCCTGACCTGAATCCTGCCTGTTCGCATGATTGGTAGCCCATTGATAATGAGTTGGCAAAACCCAAAACCAAATCCCTTGGCTGGACCAAAACGTTTACCTTAGTCTGAAGCGGGAATCAAATTTCGGTCCAAGCGGAGGCTGGACAAGGACCACCTCAGAGAAATCAGCCAAAACGCGGCTGAATTTCTAGCACCGAGGCAAAAAGAAGGAGAAAGGCCAGGGAGAAGATGGCAAGAGCACCCGCCGGAACAGCTCATCCCTCTTCAGCCTCTTCCAAAACAAGTTGAAGATGCCCACATCAGAGGCTGGTAACGGTTTCACCTCCAAAAGAAATCAGGGACAGACAGCCCCAATATGAAGCGCCTTCACCCAAGTACCTTTACAAAGAGCACGCCCCAGAAACTATACAAGTCACGCAACGGTAGAAATGACGCTGCCCCTTCCCAAAGCTTCGCGGAAGCCGTCTTAAGACATCTTAAAATGGCTACTACATATGTAAGGCTGTAAACTATGCAATTGCCGTACATACTGAGCAATTTGGAAAACCTGATTTTAATTTTTTATGTTATCTAATAAATTTAAAACCTAGGTTTAAGTTAGTATTAAAAAGTAAACTGTCATTTGAGCATTATTCTACAGAACCATATCATTTGCTTTTTGTTACATATTTTTTTAACTGATTGAATTGGGAGCGTAGCTATATATGCTTGTAAAGTTGCTTTTTGTATAATAGGTATGTAGAAATTATAAATGTAGCGCATTCGATTAATCATTCATCATAATTACAAACAAAAACTTACCATATATTTTTGTTGAATATAACCAGTGCTGCTAATTTCAAATAAAATTTTAACTGAATTAAATAGATTTGAGTTTGCACTATATAAAAGAAATTCAATAAACAGGCCCTTAGTCAAATCATCAATCCACTTATTTCGTGTGAGATAGTTAATATTAATAATGGAATTCGTTAGAGTTCTTCCTAATGTAGCAACATAACCTCCTCCTGAATATCTAGCGAAATCTCCTAAAATTTGTATATTATATATAGGTAAATACATTAGATAATATTAATCAAGTGAAGTTGACCGATTGACTCAAAGATCGCTCTTATAAAAATGGCTAAGATAATTAATTTGTTGTTAGTCATATACAGTTCTAAATTAAAAACTAGTTTTGTGTAACATACCAATATAATGCATACTTCCAGTTTGCTTTGGGCTTATATATTTCCATACAGAATCCATTCGTGCAAACTTGTCTGACTCTGTGTTATCTTGCCAGTTTTCGCTAAAGTTTCGGAATTCGGAATTTGTCGAAAATTCAGGGATACACTCATTACGAAAATCATGCATCTGTGATACAACTTTACATCCCCTCGGATCAACCCTTTTTTGTCTGAGTCGAACAATACCAATGTATTTATTTGTGTTGTCGATCGTCATCCCAGGATCACTGTATACATACATTCCGTACCACTGTTGTGACTGTAGTAATGGAATCAGTGTCTTTTGTATATAGCTCTCGATCCTAAAATATGATAAAAAATATTTATAAATATGATAAAATATTTATAAAGTCTTTGGCAATCGGGTATCGGAGTTTGTAATAAAAATCTGCTAAAATTTTTTGGTTGAGATTGGGGAACATAGGTTAGCCCTAGAATACGGGACTATCGTAAATTTTACTACTCCATAGAAAAAAGCTATATTTTTTACTTTGAATTTTTTATTCATTGTATAGAAAACAATTAAGATTCTTAGTATATCTTACAAAAGCATTAAATTATGATGAGTGAAATTGATGATGAAAAATCTCGAGTGAAATTTTTAGTTTTTGATCGGTTCATACACTAAGCTAATGATAAAAATAAATGTCGTTTAACTCAATTTTCTTTGTGAATATTAAAAAAAAAAAAGATGGAAAAATAGTTACCTGAAAGAATTTCAAAATAAAATAGTATGTGCTGGAGAATTACCTCCTCATAAAGCAATATTCGAATTATTATTGGACTAATATAAAATCGTCATTATAGATTTATGGTATCATATAAATGCAGATAGTCTGCTTATATTTCAAACAAAACAGCTTGATTACCTATTAGGGTTAAACAAATCAATAATAATATAGTCTCCTGACACGGACGCATTTTTAGTATTGTTGGCACACATAAAAAAATTTAAAACTTGACAGAAGATTGTTTTTGTACAAGTATAATTATTCCATTGCTACATTAACCAAGAAATATATACGAATATATTCTTAAGCACAGCGGTTCTCAATCATTTAGCACTGGCGCCCTCTTTGAACACTGAACATATTGAACACTGAAGACAGTCAATAATTGGTTGGTTCAAGTTAGAACAGTGAAATTGTGAAACTGGCGATGCTAACTCTACGTTAGCAATAGCTGGGATGCAAAATAAAAATCCAGATATATTTAAATACGAAAGTTTATTTGATGTCACATTAAACTTAACATTGTTTATTTATTTGAGAAAAAGAATAATCAAAAAATCAGGTACGCATATAAAGTTGAAATTCTTATATGAGTGTTTTTGCACTTTTAATGAGAGGGTTGACATTGTCTGTTCTTGACAAATTTTTTGATATTTGGTTGAAACTGTGTCAAAGCACACCTCAAGTCACTTTCAACGTCCAGCCTTGAACGGTATATTGATTTTATATACGCCAATTCAGAAAAACCAGATTCACAAAGATATATGGGTGAAAACTGGACTAATAACTTCGCAGATACTAAAGCCACTTCTGGATAAACAGGAAAGTTGGTTAACCAAAATTCTTCCAAGACAATGTTTGCAAAATCTGCTTTTGCTTGTGAATCACATTGTAGGTCAATTGCCTGCTCTTGAAGGTTAACTGGAAGAATGTCAACTTCGATATGAAAAGGATCTTTTGTCAACTTAAATTCTCAGTTTTCCAATTTAACATCTGGAAAGTACATTCGAATTTGATTTTTCAGTTCTTCCAAATGCCGTGATATCACGTCTTTCAAATACGAAACTAGATGTAGTGGAAGGGTTTGAATATCATCGAGGATGTCGTTCAGTTTAGGAAAAGAAGAAAAGTTTGGCTTGGAACTGTGAAGGCGGCGTTGCCAAAGCGATATTTTTTCTATAAACCAGTTAATTGCATCATAAGTGTTTAAGAGGTTTTTACGACGGCCTTGAAGCTTCAGATTTAAGACATTAAGTGTCTCAAAAAAGTCAGACAAACAAACCAAGTAAAGATGTTTTTATCATATGTAAATCTTCGGTGCAGATCTTGTTTTGAAGTCATTAACAAAATTTCAACTTCTGACTTTAAATTGAATAATTTTGGAAGCATACTTTCTTTGGATCACCACTGGACTTCTGTGTAAAACAGGAGGGTTTCCTGATCACTATTCAGTTCTTGACATAGTGCCTTAAAGAGCCTAGTGTTTAATGCGCTGGATTTGATGTAGTTAACTATTTTAATTGCTAAGTTTCATGTGGCGTTGAGAGGTTCAGGTAAAGTCTGACTAGCTAAAACTTGTCTCTAAATAATGCGGTGGGAACCAATTATCCTAGGGTTCTTCTTTTTGGCCAATTCCATAAACCCAAATCGACATCTTGTCATGGCTTTAGCCCCATCAGTACATATGCCAATTACTTCCTCTCATGGAAGTTCATTGTTTACTAAAAAATCTTCAAGAGCAGAAAATATGTTAATGGCTTTAGTTGTTGTTTCAAGATATGTTGAAACAATATTTCCTCCAGGAACCGTTTTTTGTCAATAAATCGACAGTAAAACAATAACTGTGAACGGTGAACTTTTTAATTTTTGTAATAGTTGATTTTTCAAATCAAGAGCTGTGTCATCAATTCTAGAGGTGAGTTGTTGCTAGATCTACCATAAGACGTGTCCCCAGGCAGCGGATAGGGGAATGCCTCTAAGATACGGATGATATCTGGGACCAAAACTAGCACATGGAAATAAAAAATAGCATAGGCGACAATAATATTAGATTAATACGGCTAACACTCTGCAATGGGGAAGGCAACGGGAAACTAACTCATTATACTTCCTAGTAAAGTTATCATAGCATCGATTAGTGAAACAAATAATATTACTGATTTAGTTGTTTAGAGTGTGACAACCAGTTAGACAGAGGTCCCAGTATACTAAAATCAGAAGTCAAAAAGCAATAACAGCCAAAAATTAGAAAGTACCTGGACAAGATCAAATCCCTGCTGAGCTTCTTAAACTTTTGGACGAGGAAAACATTACCTACTTAAAGGATGGATTCGCCCTTACTTGATGGAAATTACTTTTGTTTTTAAAACGTCCACAAAGTATTTATTAGGCAATCTTATCACTACAGCTGTTTCGATAGAGTGTTTTCTCAAGTGATCTATTTTTGGTATGCATTTACACTTTATAGTCTTTAACTGAATAGGTTGAGGAGCGGAGAACTGTTTGTCGCAAATTGGTCATTCAGAAATATGTCTGTATTTTTTATGTGTTGATTTCCATAGATTCTAAAATATTCTAAAGATAGCTCAAGGCCTTTATTTTGCATGTAAACAATTTAAAATTCGTCATTAAAAGAATGATTATGATCTAGACTACGGGTTTCCAAACTTTTTTGTAGCACGCCCCCTTTTGTTGAAATGAAAGTTTCTCGCGCCCCCACCCCTCAACAATAAATTGTATGGGCCTAGAAACAAAACAAAAAAGTATTACATAGAAAACAAAACATTTATTGATACTGCCATAATATACAATAGTATCAGTTTTTATAAAATACAAAAAATATTAATAAAATAAATATATATTAGGTGGGTTAGTGAGATGGGTGTGCTTGAAGTTTCTTTACTAGTATGTCTATTCGTAGCGAAGTTTTAGTAAGTGCACAACGCAAGCCACTAGCAGCAAGTTTATTTCAATACTTTGTTTTAATTGCCACAAGTGTTAAAAATGCTTTTTCACAAAAATAGGTGCTTGACAGTAGCGGGTAGACACTCTTTACAATCCCGGTAAAGACAGGTCTGCTTCAGGGATGCGCCCCTGCCCACGCGAGCTCGGCTTTTTCTCCCAATCCTCTTCCGGGAGAGAAGCGGATCCTAATCCCTAAATCCTACCCACCAAACCAGACCTACCCAAATCCTTCCCTTCCCTCCTCAACCCGCACTGGACCAGCGTGAGGAGATAACGGTCCAAACCTTCAAGTCAATGTACAGGATAAAAAAGAAAAGGCCCCCAGTGCCCAGCACTTCCCAGAGTCTTGATCACGGCAGCGATCAAACAACTAACGGAAGGGGGGGTGCTAAAAATACCTAGGTAAGACCCGGCTGCCACAAGATGACAATTTGGCTATGCTCCTACAATATTCGAACACTGACGGACGACAATAGATTCCCAGAAATAGAAAGTGAACTAAAGGATATAAAATGGGATATCCTTGGTATATGCGAGACCAGAAGAAAAAGTGATGAGTATATAATACTAAAAAATGGCACACATTTTATGCATAAAGGTGGCGAATACACTGGAGTGGGATTCTTGGTAAAACAAAGCCTCACACAGTGTATCGAATAATTCAAGCCCATATCAGACAGAGTAGCATATCTCATCATCAGGATTAATAAAAGAACCACTCTGAAAGTGATCCAAGTGTACGCTCCGACCAAAAGCCACGACGATGAAGAAGTAGAAATATTTTATGATGAAATAAGAACAGCTATAGAAACAAATAAAGCAAATTACGAAATACTATTAGGAGATTTTAATGCTAAACTGGGCAAAAAAGAGGAAGATTATGAACATTTTATTGGTAACTATGGCTACGGGAAAAGAAACGATAGAGGAGAAATGCTTCTCAATTTCATGAATGAACATAACATGTACTCAATGAACTCCTTTTTCAATAAAAAACCAAGCAGAAAATGGACATGGATGAGTCCCGATAAAAAGACAAAGAATAAAATAGATTATATCTTAACGAAGAATAGAAACCTAGTAGAAGACGTATCAGTATTAAATCAGTTTGACCTAGGAAGCGATCATAGACTAATAAGAACAAAACTAGTAATTAACAAAAAACTAGAAAGAAAAAGAATACATGAAAAAAGATACAAATGGACATCTGAAGAAATCAAAAATAGTGAATTTAATAAAAGGATAGTGCATGCATTAAATCAAGTTAGCAGGCAGCAGATAAACTCCAATGATATTGATGATTTGAATAACCTTATTACCGAAACAGTGAATAAAAGCCTTCTGCAACTGAAATAACCGAAAACAACATGCAATGAATTAGACAGAGAAATATTACAACAAATAGAAAGAAGGAAGATCTTAAATAAATCTAACAAAAGGGGAACCGACGAATATAGAGAACTTAATAGGCAGATTAGAAAAGGAATCAGACAACAAAAAAGAAAAGAAAACGAAAAATTAATAACAACAACTATTGAAAAAAATAAGAGTATGAAATGTCTCAGACCGACACTAGGACGACGTCAGATGATATCATTAATAGGAAA